CACCGGGACACCAGCGGGACACCAACGGGACACCGGCGGGACACCGCGCGGCCCCGTTTGCCGGTCGGGAAACATTTGGTCCGGCCGCGCCTCAGACACAGGAGACTCTCCTCTCGCCCGCCCACGCAGCTTCGCCTCGCCCGCACGCACGGCAGGCACGAACACGAAACCGAAACCGACTTCCCGGTGGGGGGCTCTCCGTTCCATTTCGATCTCACCCCCCAACCTCCGATCGATCCCAGTCGATATGGGAGCCTTGGTGTTCAGAGATAGTTGCGTTTCGGGATCGCTCTTGGGAGCCTTGGTGTCGAGTTGTTTACGTCACCATTCGCTCTTGGGCGCCTTGGTACCGTTTCCCCCCCCCCCGGGAACCAACAAAATAAAGAATTATTTCGTTCATGTTGCAAGGGCTTGGGGGGCCGTTTGGGCTCGTCTTTTGGACCCCTTGGGGGGCTCTTGGGGGCCTCTCGGGGGGCCTCTGAGAAAGGTTCAGATCCCAACCGGACGCGTGAGATCCCAACCGGACGGTTCAGATCCCAACCGTCAAGGACACGCGGGACGCGTGAGATCCCAACCACTTTGGAGCCTCTGAAAAGCTCCAACCTCTGCAAGGTTCTGAGAGCCACCGCGAGCCTCTGAGAGATTCTGAAAGATTCTGGGAGATCCTGAGAGATCCTGAGAGATTCTGAAAGATTCTGAGAGATTCTGAGAGATCCTGAGAGATTCTGAGAGATTCTGAAAGATTCTGAAAGATTCTGAAAGATTCTGAGACATTCTGAGAGATTCTGAGAATTTCTGAAAGATTCTGAGAGATTTTGAGAGATTCTGAGATTCTGAAAGATTCTGAGAGATTCTGAGAGATTCTGAAAGATTCTGAGAGATTCTGGAAGATTCTGAGACATTCTGGGACATTCTGAAAGATTCCTGAGAGTTTCCTGCGGGCCTCGGAGAGATTCCTGCAGAGATTCTGAGAGATTCTCATTACTACTACTACTTCAGCTACTACTACTACTACTACTACTACTACTACTACTACTACTACTACTACTACTACTACTACTACTACTACTACTACTACTACTACTACTACTACTACTACTACTACTACTACTACTACTACTACTACTACTACTACTACTACTACTACTACTACTACTACTACTCTACTACTACTACTACTACTACTACTACTACTACTACTACTACTACTACTACTACTACTACTACTACTACTACTACTACTACTACTACTACTACTACAGTAGTAGTACTACTATAATACTGCTTTATACTCTGTTACTGCTTAACTAACTCTACTCACTACTTCTTTACTACGACCACTACTACTACTTCTTATCCCTACTCCTACTCTAACTACTGGTGCCACTAATATTGCTACTACTACTACACTACTTACTACACTACTTTGCCTGTTTCGTTTTAATTCTTGTCTAGTCTACTACTTACTAGTTACGACTTACTACTTACGCTGCTAATACTATATTTTAATACTACTACTATACTACCTATTTGATCTGTATTGACATTTTATTTTCTCAACGGCCGTATCTATACTTCATTACTACTACTACTACTACTACTATGACAAACTACTTATCTAATACTACTACTTTATCTACGCTTAACTACTAATACTACTACTTACGATTTTTCTTTCCACTACGACTACTATTACTACTCCTACTACGACGACTACCATTACTACTACTACTACTACTACTACTACTACTACTACTACTACTGTTACTACTACTATCACTACTACTACTACTACTACTACTACTACTACTACTGGTACTACTACTACTACTACTACTACTTGTACTACTACTACTACTACTACTACTACTACTACTACTAATGCCACTGCTACTACTACTACTACTACTACTACTACTACTACTACTACGACTAGTACTACTACTACTACTACTACTACTGCTACTACTACGAATACTCAGACTTCTGGTCGTACTACATCTACTATTCCCAGTATCACTATTACTACTACTATTAACCACTACTACTTGTAGTACTATACCCTCCACAAGTACTACTACTAATATTACGAATTGTACTGCTACTACCACTACTAATACTACTACACCCTCCAGAAGTACTACCACTACTACTACTACTACGACTACTACTACTACTTTTACTCTTACTACATGTATTACTTCTACGACAACTACTACTATTACTGCTACTACTACCACTAGTACTACTACTACTCGTATCAATATTACGACTACTACTACTACTACTACTACTACTACTACTACTACTCTTACGACTACTACTACTACTACGACTACTACTATTACTACTATTACTATTAATACCACTACTACTACTACAACTACTACACCTACTACTGCTGCTACTACTACTACTACTACTATTACTACTACTACTACGATTACTACTACTATGCCTACTACTATCATTATTCCTGCCACTTTCGCTAGTACTATTACTATTACGAAGTACTGCTACGACTACTACGACGACTACGACTATTACTACTACTGCTACTATCACTAGTACTACTACTACTACTACTACTACTACTCCTACTACTACTAATACTGCTACTACTTCTACTACGCCTACGACTACTACTACTACTACTACTACTACTACTACTACTACTACTACTACTACCACTACTCCTAGTCCCACGCATACTCCTACTACTACTACTACTACTACTACTACTAGTACTATACTACTACTACTCTACTCCTACTACTACTACCTACTACTCTACTCCTACTCCTACTACTACTACTACTACTACTACTACGACTACGACTACCAGTACTACAACTATATTACGCTACGATGACTACTGTTACTACTACTACTACTACTACTACTACTACTACGACTTACTTACTATACTACTACTACTACTAGACTACCTACTACTACTACTACTACTACTATACTACTACTACTACTACGAGTACTCACTACTACGACTACGATGACTACTGCTACTACTACTACTACTACTACTACCTGCTACTACTACTACTACTACTACTACTACTACTACTACGTTACTACTACTACTACTTACTACTACTAATACTACAAGTACTATACTAACTAAACTAAACTAACTACTAACTACTACTACTACTACTAACTAACTAACTGACTAACTAACTACTACTACTAACTACTACTACTACTACTACTACGACTACTACTACTACTACTACTACTACTACTACTACTACTACTACTACTACTACTACGACCAACTTACTACCTACTACTACTACTACTACTACTACTACTACTACTACTACTACTACTACTACTACTACTACTACTACTACTACTACTACTACTACTACTACTACTACTACTACTACTACTACTACTACTACTACTACTACTACTACTACTACTACTACTACTACTACTACTACTACTACTACTACTACTATTACGACTACTACTACTACTACTACTACTACTACTACTACTACTACTACTAGTACTGTTACTACTACTACTACTACTAGTACTACCACTACTACTTCTACCACTACTACAATTCAGCAAAAGACGCGCAAGATCCCAACCGCAATAACTCAGGCGTAAATCTGCTCCTGTAAGGTGCCCATCGCAATTTCAGATAGCAATGAACAGGTATGGCAATTTTTCAATATGTTTTCTTTATTCGCTTCCTCCTCGGTTGGGATCTGACCGTGCCTGGTGTTTTAGACGGTTGGGATCTGAACCGTCCGGTTGGGATCTCACGCGTCCGGTTGGGATCTGAACCCATCGCGGGGGCCTCTTGGGGGCCTCTTGGGAGCCTTTTTGGGCTTCTTGGGGGCCTCTTGGGGCCTCCCGGGAGCTTCTTGGACCGACCCTTAAGAGCCTGTTCTGCCAACGTTCGTACTGTGAGCCTTGGTGTTCAGAGATTGTTGCGTTGCCGCTCGCTCTTGGCACAGCATACAGCACGGAATGTCGATGTGCCTGACGATTTGCATTTGCATTTGCTTATCGATGTGCATGTCGATTTGCTGTTCGATCTGCATTTCGATCTGCATTTCGATTTGCATCTCACTATCGGTGTCACTATCGATCCCACTCAATCGATCTCACTATCGATCTCTCTATCGATCACACTCGATCGATCTCACTATCGGTCTCACTCGATCGAATTCACTGTCGATCTCACTCTCGATCTCGTTTTCGATCCCACTATCGATCTCACTATCGATATCACTCCATCGATCTCACTATCGATCTCACTATCGATATCAGTCCATCGATCTCACGATCGATCTCACCATCGATCTCTCGATCGATCTCACTCGATCGATCTCACGATCGTGCTTACTCAATCGATCTCACCATTGATCCCACTATCGCTCTCACTATCGATCCCACGATCGATCTCACCATCGATCTCACTCGATCGATCTCACTATCGATCTCACGATCAATTGCACAATCGATCTCGCAATCGATCCCACGATCGGTCTCACTATCGTTTTCGCACCAGCGGGACACCGGGACACCAGCGGGATACCAGCGGGACAACGGCGGGACACCGCGCGGCCCCGTTTGCCGGTCGGGAAACATTTGGTCCGGCCGCGCCTCAGACACAGGAGACTTTCCTCTCGCCCGCCCACGCAGCTTCGCCTCGCCCGCACGCACGGCACGCACGAACACGAAACCGAAACCGACTTCCCGGTGGGGGGCTCTCCGTTCCACTTCGATCTCACCCCCCAACCTCCGACTCTTGCTTCCTCTTCTCCTCCAACTCCGCCTCAGCCTTGGCATCCGCCTCAGCCTCCATGTTTTGTTCCTCCTCCCGTCCTACTCCTGAAGGTGCTGCTGCCAATTGGATTGCCGTTCCTTCTCCCCCGTACCCGGGGGCCCATCCCCATCTTCCTCGTCCTCATCTCCCTCCGCTGGGAGTCGTCGTCGCCGTCGTCGTCGTCGAGGTCCTGCACCTTCAGGAAACGCGCCCGCGAGACATCGACGCCCGCGCCCGTGCCCGACGACTCGTCCTCGACGGGGCTTTCGGGCGTGGAGGGGCGAAGGGGCACCACAGCGGCCGAGAAGGAGGTGGTGGAGGGAAGCAGGGAGGGACCCACACTTCGTCGGATGCGAATAAATCACGACGGAAGGTTTCGGCACCGGCAAAAATCGGCTCAGGATGAAGAACCGGTCCCGGGGGAAGTGGTCCAGACCTCCAGGGGCCCACTTCCTGCGGAAAACCAGACGGGAGTCTGGGGAGGGAGAGAGGGAGGGAGACAGGAAGGGGTGAGGGAGGAGGCACAGAAGTGAGTAAGGCGGTGGGGAAAAGCAAGATGGGAGGGCTAGTGAGAGGAGAGGGAGTGGAGAGGGAGGGGAAGACAGGGAGGAAGGAGGAGGGAAAAAGAGGAGGAGGAGGAGGAGGAGGAGGAGTAGGAGAAGGAGGAGGAGGAGGAGGAGCAGCCTAGCATCATCCTTACGAGAAGCAGCATGAACATCAGCATCATCGTCCACATAGCCATCACCATCATCATCATCATCATCATCATCATCAGCATCATCATCATCAGCATCATCATCATCATCAGCATCATCATCATCATTATCATCATCATCAACATCATCATCAGCATCATCATCCTCATCCTCATCATCATCATCATCATCATCATCATCATCATCATCATCATCATCATCATCATCAGCATCAGCATAATCAGCAGCATCATCGTCCTCATTACCATCCTCATCCTACTCCGTCTCAGCCTCCTCTTTCCTCCTTCTCACCCTCCTCCTCCTTCTTCTCCTCCTCCTCCTCCTCTTCCTCCACCTCCTCCCTCCTCCCTCCTCCTTGCCTCCCTCCGCCCTCCTTCCCTCCTTCTCTCCCTCCCTCCCTCCCTCCTACTCCTCCCTTCCTTGCTCCCTCCCTCTCTCCATCCTTGTAAACGCTAGGCAAGCATCAGGCAGAGCCTATTGCGTTACACCTCGTTCCCTCCTCGTGCTCCTCCTCTTTCTCCTCCTCCTCCTCTTCCTCCTCCTCTTCCTCCTCTTCCTCCTCCTCCTCCTCCTCCTCCCTCCTCCTCCTGCTCCTCCTCCTCCTCCTCCTTCTCCTCCTCCTGCTCCTGCTCCTGCTCCTCCTCCTTCTCGCTCCTCCTCATCATCCCTCTCTTCCTCCACCTCCTTCTGCGGTTCCTTTGGAAAATGTGGCTCTCGCCTTAGCGCCGCGCACATGCTTGCTTCACCGTTACAAGAGTTTCACGAGACTTCCCACCATCAACGTATCAGAAATGGTGTGTTGGAAGGGTTCAAGATTTTGAGAGCGCAGCAGTTACGATGCTTTGCAGAATTGAGGTCCCAAGAATGGCGTTCTGGCACGATTCAGGATCGTCAAGGCGCAACAGTCAGGTTCATCCGTGAGGTTGGAATACAGAGAATACTGGTGTGACATGCTTCAGGGTCTTCAAACGGCTGTCTTCCAACGAGGCAGGTCCCTCGGTGGAGATGAAGCGCTGTAGGGGCCTATGACGAGGGAGCTTGGGGGGGTGGGTTATTCCAACATCGTTGGTGATTCTTGGGTGTACACTGGTCCTCCTCCTCCTCCTCCTCCTCCTCCTGCTGCTCCTCCTCCTGCTCCTCCTCCTCCTCCTTCTCCTCCTGCTCCTGGTCCTGCTCCTCCTCAGTCTCGCTCCTCCTCCTCCGCCGCCCCTCTCTCCTCCTCCTCCTCCTCCTCCTCCTCCTCCTCCTCCTCCTCCTACTCCTCCTCTTCCTCCTCCTCATCCTCCTCCTCCTCCTCCGCTTCTTCCCCCATTCCTTGTTCTTATAGATAAGTCCTTCCTGCCGCACCCCGAGACGAGTCGGTCGGGCAGGCCAGGCGCTTCGCCCGAGCTCACCACTTATGATTCTGAAGCGGAAACTCTGTAAAAGCTTCACGGATGGAGGGCTGGCCCTTTTCAAAACATGGCGTTCGCATCAGCGCCGCACACCTTCGTCCTGAAAGGTTGCAGGAGCTGCACGGGTGGAGGGTGGGTCGTTTTCAACATGTGGCTCTCGCCTTGGCGCCGCTCGCATTCGTATTAAAAGTGCGCAGCGCCTTCTCGAACGGAGGGCGGGCCCTCTTAAAAATGTGGCTCCCGCCTTGGCGCCGCGCACATTCGTCCAAAAAAAGGCACACGCTTCACGAAAGGAGAGTATGTCCTTTTCCAAAACGTGACTCTCGCCCTCGAGCCGCGCACAATCCTTTTTTAATGTGCCAAATGTTTTCTGGATGAAGTGTGGGTCTGGTTCAAACTGTGGCTCTCGCCTTAGCACCGCGCCCATTCGTCCTCAAAGTTTGCAAGAGCTTAACAAATGGAGGGCGGGCCGTTTCCAAAATGTGGTTCCCGCCTTAGCGCCGCGCGCATTCGCGTTAAAAGTTCGCACAAGCGTCGCGAACAGAGGGCAGGCCCCCTTCAAAATGTGGCTCTCGCCTTGGCGCCGCGCAAACTCATTTTCCAAAGTCTGACAGGGCTTCACGGATGGAAGGCAGCTCATTTACAAAATGCGGCTCGTGCCTTGGCACCACACACATGCTTCCAAAAAAAATCCAGACGCTTCACAGAAGGAGGGTGGGTCCTTTTCAAAATGTGACTCTCGCCCTAGCGACTCGCACATTCGCCTTAACAGTTTGCAAGATTCTCGTTTCGCATGGAGGGCGGATCCTTTTCAAAATGTGGCCCTCGCCTTAGCACCGCGCACATGCGTCTTAAAAGTTTGAAAGAGCTTCACGGAGGGGGGGGGGGTCAAAATGTGGCTCTTGCCTTAGCACCGCGCCCATTCGTCTGAAGAGTTCGCAAGATGGTTTACGGATGGATGGTTTTCAAACTGTGGTTCTCGCTGTAGCGTCGCGCACACTCGTCAGAAAAACCCGCAACAGCTTCGCGGATGGGAGGCGGGTCCTTTTCAAAATGTGCGCCGCGCACATTCGTCTAAAAAACTCGCGAGAGCGTCATGGATGGAGGGCACCTCCTTTTCAAAATGTGGCTTTCGCTTCAGCGCCGCCAACATTCGTCTTGAAAGTTTGCGAGAGCAGCCACGGATGGAGCGCGGGTCCTCTTCGAAATGTGGCTCCCGTCATAGCGCCGCGCACAGTCGTCGTCTTACATGTCTACAACAAATTCAACCGAATTCTTGTGGTTGACGTCGCAGTAGTGAAGCTCCAGCACGCTTCAGGACAGTCGGATTGGAAAAAAAAAAAAAAAAAAAAAAAAAAAAAAATTTTTTTTTTGCAATCCTTTTTTTTTTTGCAATCCTTGGCACAACAATCACTTTGATTCGCGGTGTTGACGTCACAGGCACGGCGCTCAGGCACGGTGCAGGGTCGCCAGGACGCAACCGCAGAGTTGACTCGCGGCGTTGGAGTCCCGAGAGTGATGTTTCGCTCGATTGAGGATTCTCCGACGGTTGTCTTCCTACGGGACACTTCCAGCAGCGAAAATAAATTGTTGCACCGGGACCTACGAAAAGGAAACTTTGAGGGAGGGTTCGATGAAACATCGTTGGTGCGCCTTGGGTTTACACTGGTGCTCCTCCTCCTCTTCCTCCTCCTCCTCGTCCTCCTCCTCCTCCCACTCCAACTCTTCCTACGCGTATTCCTCGTCCTTCCTCCCTCCTCACTCCTCCGTTCTCCCTCCTCCCTCCTCCTCATCCTCCTCCTCCTTAACCTCCCCATCCTCCTCCTCAAAATGATCCTCCTCCTCCTCCTCCTCCTCCTCCTCCTCCTGCTCGGGTTCAATTCCCGTCTCTCGCGGCCCGTGCGCGCGAGCGCAGACGGCTACCTGAGCCGCCTCCTGAGGACCTCGACCCCTGATGCGCTAGAAGTCTACTGCCGTGCTCTCTTTCCTCCTCTTCCTTCTCCTCCTCATCCTCATCATCTATCCCTTCTCCTTCTAAATAACTCCTCCCTGTCACACCCCGAGACGTGTCGGTAGGGCAGGCCGGGCGTTTCGCCTGAGACTTCCTCACAATGTATGCCCCTCAAGCTTAAACTTTACAACGGCTTCGCGGATGGAGGGCGGGTGGTTGTTTTAATGTGGCTCTCGCCCTAGCGCCGCTCACATTCCTTTAAAAAGTGTGTAAGATTTTCGCGGATAGATGGCGGGGGGATCCAAATGTGGCTTTCGCCTTAGCGCACCCCTCACTCGTCTTCAGAGTTTACAACAGTTTCAAGGATTCTGATGGTTGACGTCCCAGAAATGACCTTGTGGCACTCTGTAGGACTGTCAGGGCGCAACTGTTACGTTGATTCGCACTGTTGGAGTCCCAGGCATGGATTTCTGGCACGATTCAGGATCCTCAGGACGCGACAGTAACAATGATTCGCGGCGTTGAAGTCCCAGGAATGGTGTTCTGGTACGGTTCTGGATTTTCAGATGGTTGTCTTCCAACGGGGCACTTCCCACAGCGGGCCCGATGAAGAGGGAACTTGGAGGGAGAGTTTGGTGCAATATCGTTGGTGAGTCCTGGGTTTACACTCGTCCTCCCTCCTCCTCCTCCTCCTCCTCCTCCTCCTCCTCCTCCTCCTCCTCCTACTCCTACATCCAATCATCCGCATCATCATCATCATCATCATCATCATCATCATCATCATCATCATCATCATCATCATCATCATCATCGTCATCATCATCATCCTCATCATCGTCATCATCATCATCAGCAGCAGCATCACCATCAGCATCAGCATCCTCCTCCTCATCATCATCCTTCTCCGCCTCCTCATCATCATCACCATTACCATCACAATCATCATCATAATCACAATAGTCATAATCAACATGATAACCAGCATGATGGTCAGAATCGGAGCTCCTCATCCATCTCTTTCCTTTCAAGATCAGCCCCCATGTCGCACCACCATCGTGTCCGTAGGTCAAGCGGTCAAGCCAGGCTTTCGCTTGAGACGCACTTTCATGGACTCGCATCCTGGAGCTAAAGGATGTGGAACAGCTACACATACGGAGGGCTGGTGGTTTTCAAAATGGGGCTCTAGTGCCGATCAGAGTCGTCGAAGCTACGAGGATGGATGGCAGGTGACTTTCAAGATTGGGTTCTTTCCTTAGCGCAGCGAACATTGATCGTCACCGCTTGCAACGGCTACAAGACATGAGGTCAGGTGGTTTTCAAACATGGGGTTCTCGCCTCAACGCAGCTCAAATTCGTTGCAGAAGCTGCCAGGATGGAGACCAGCTCGTTATCCAAATCGGCCCATCGCCTTAGCGCCTCGCGTGTTCGTTGTAAGAATGCTACAACTTGTGCAAGGATGGGGGGCGGTTCCTTTCCAACATTTTTCAACCTGGAGCTCAGTCTGGAGACCTCCTATGCGTAAGCTGTACGGGCGGAGGGCTGCTCCTTTGCTACACGGGCCTCTGGCTCGAAACTTCCTCGAAGTGGATAGCCAGGAGTGTACGTCAGCATGTCCGATAGTGGCACGGATGGGGTGCGAGTCTGTTTCAAGACGGGGCTCTCGCTGGATACATCGCTGAACCTGACGACCCAACCTTTTCGCAGTCGCTTTAATTCACTAATGGGGTACAAGGCAGTTCCTTGTCAAAACGGGGCCAACGCCTGAATAGCCAGCCCATGCGGAGCTGGAGTTTCAAGGGTGCGCTTCCTGTAGTGAAAAGGACTGCCCATAGAGGCTGGTGAAGAGGGGACATGGGCCGGGAGGGTGTATTGCAGCATCGCTAATGCATCCTAGGTTTGCTCTTGTCCTCCTCCCCCATCGCCCTCCCCATCCCCCTCCCCCTCCCCCCCTCCTCCTCCTCCTCCTCCTCCTCCTCCTCCATTTGTTTCTTTACAAATAACTGTTCCCTGCCGCACCCCGAGGCCAGTTTCTAGGGCGGGCCAGGCGTTCCGCTTTCTCACCATTTATGACTCCGAAGCGTAAAAAATTGCAACAGCTTCACAGATGGAGGGCGGGTGGTTTTCAAAATGTGGCTATCGCCTCAGCGCCGCGCACATTCGTTTCATGAGTTTACAAGAGCTTCACGGATTGAGGGTGGGTCGTTTTCAACATGTGGCTTTCGCCTCAGCGCCGCGCACACTCGTTGTAAACATTTGCAACAGGTTCAAGGACTGAAGGCAAGTCGTTTTCAAAATGTGGATCTCGCCTTAGCGCCGCGCACATTCGTTTTAAACAATTGTAAAATTTCACGGGTGATGGAGGCTCCTTTTCAAAATCTGGTTCTCGCCTTAGCGCCATCCACATTCGTTGCAAACATGTGCAATAGCTTCACGGATTGGGGGCGGTTCCTGTTCAAAATGTGGCTCTCGCCTTAGCGCCGCGCACATTCGTTTCACGGGTTCCCATGATCAACGTTACAAAAATTGTGTTTTGGAAGGATTCAGAACTATGCGGGTACAACATGTATGTTGATTCGTGGTGTTGAAGTCCCAATATTTAAACTCCGGCACGATTCCAAGTCGTCAGTACGCAGCAGTCAGGTTGATCCGTGGCATGGACATCCCGAGAACGATGTTTCGGCATGCTTCGAGGTCTTCAAACGGTTGGCGTCCAATGAGGCAGTTCCCTTAATGGAAATGAACCGTTGTAGGGGCCCATGAGGAGGGAGCTTGGAGGGAGGGTTAACTCCAACCTCGTTGATGACTCTTGGGTTTACACTTGTCCTCCTCTTCCTCCTCCTCCCCCTCCTCTACCTCAGTCTCCACCGCATCTTTCTCCTCCTTCTCCTCGCTGCCAAGCCCGATCCTCCACCACCGGGTCAGGGTAGTCCGCGCCGCCGCGCGACGCCGACGTCCCGAGCGACCACCTGATCGAGGTTCTGCTTGGGCCCGGGGCGTTCTCGCTCTCGTCGGCCGCGCCGCAGGTCCTTCTGCCGGGGGGCGGCCCGAAGCCTAGACGCCCAGCGCCCTGCATGGCCAGGGCATCGGATAACTCCTCGACGTCGGCGCCGCAAGCCAAGGCGAGGACGGGAAACACGAGGGTTTGAGGCCCCTACGGGGCCCCGATCTGGCCGAAATCGGCGCGTACCCGCGAAACGCCAACGGCAGCACCTCCAACGGGAGCGGGGTGGGTCGCGGGTGGGTCGCGGGGTGGGTCGCGGGGTGGGTCGCGGGCGACACATGCAATGAGGATGAGGGACCATTGGGCAAGGAATCCAGAGCCTGGAAGCTGCTGGAACTCCAAGCGTGGATTGGCCATGGATACCACCGCCGCCCTCACCGGATGAGGGAGCCTTCAGGGTCCGAAGCCTTCTGCACACACTCCTCAACGAACGCCCCCACCGTGCATAGCAGTCAAGACGCTTGTGTCCGTCACGTCTCGGAGGTTCCAAACCCAACGTTTTTCCTCGCGTTCGGTCTCCAGGGCCCGTTATCGGGCCCTGGGACTATCAAAAACGGATTCGCGATGAAAAACGACCCCCACAGGGGGGAAGGGTCGGGAGGTCTGGTGCCGCGAACCGTAAGAATATATATATATATATATATATATATACACACACATGCATCTCTTCATACAAGACTGCATGGGCGCTTCGCGCCATGTACCTTGGTCCTTGAGGCTTTGCTTATGTTGGTCGTTCGCGCCATCCCTAGTGGCCCTGGAAATTTGGCCCCTTCCCTGCGGTGGCTCTGGGCCTCCGCGGGTTCCCGAAGGGCGCCGGGTGGAGGGCGAAGGATAGGAGGAAGGGAATCTAGGGGAGCGAGGAGAGGGAAGCGGATGTGGGCGAGGACGAGTGGGAGCGGCAGAAAGAGGAGGAGGAGGAGGAGGAGGAGGACCCAGAGAGGAGCAGGAGGAGGGAACAAGATGGCGCCGTCTCGGGAGGCGGCGAAGAATCCCACCAGCCCTTTAGGGCGTGAGTGGTTTAGAGAGCCCCCTCTGTCCTCAACCCCCCTTCTTCCCCTTCGGGGAGGGGTTTACCCCTCCCCCTACCCCCTCCCCCTGGGTCTGGAGAGGGCGGGCCGCGGGTGGTTAGGGGGGTCTTTTTCGACTCCTGGGAGGGCCAAAAAACGACGACCTCACGAGGATTCTGGCCCCGACGGGGGGATCCAGAAAAACCCTCTCCTCTTCTGTGAAGCCAAAATCCTTGCTTTTACGATGGTTTTGGCCCCATTTTGGCCTCCCGAGGGGGCCGCGCTCATCTTCCTTCATAGCAAAATCATTGATTTTACGAAGGTTTTGGGCTCATTTTGTCCTTCTCAGGGGGCAGCGCTTCTTTGCGCTTCTGAGGAGGTCGCAAGAGGCCCCAAGATGGCCCCAAGAGGCCCCCAGGAGCCTCCCAAGAGGCCTCCAAGAGGCCCCCAAGAGGCCCCCAAGAGGCCCCAAGAGGCCCCCAAGAGGCCCCCAAGAGGCCCCCAAGAAGAGGCCCCCAAGAGGCCCCCAAGGCCCCCAAGAGGCCCCAAGAGGCCCGAGGAGCCCGAACGACTCACACCAGGACGAGGGGCCCGAACGACTCACACCACGAAGAGCCCGAACGACTCACACCACAAGGAGGGGCCCGAACGACTCACACCAGGACGAGGCGCCCGAACGACTCACACCACGAGGAGCCCGAACGACTCACACCACGACGCGGGCCCCGAACGACTCACACCACGAGGAGCCCGAACGAGTCACACCAGGAGGAGGGGCCCGAACGACTCACACCAGGATGAGGGGCCCGAACAACTCACACCACGAGAAGCCCGAACGACTCACACCAGGACGAAGAGCCCGAACGACTCACACCACGAAGAGCCCGAACGACTCACACCAGGAAGAAGGGCCCGAACGACTCACACCAGGACGAGAAACCCCAAACGACTCAAATCACGAGGAGCGCTTTCTCTCCCTCCTCCTCCGCCTCGTCCTTCTCCCGCTCCCCCCACAAGGAGGATGTACAAGGAGGCGGGAGGAAGGAGGAACAGGGGAGATATGCGGGGCCAAACGGACACACGCCTGAAAGACACGACTGTCGGAATGCTTCGCATGAGTTGCTGTTGTGAGATGGGCTGGTGGGGATACGCGAAGCGTAAAGAATTTCGATTGCGCTGCACCAAGGGCTGGCAACCCACGCGAATGAATGCCAAGCAAACCGACGCAATGTCAAACAATGCCGCAAAATACCAAGCAATGCCAAGCCGAGGATGTCATGTTGCACCGGGTCGCAACAGAGCAAACGAAAGCAAGCAGTTCCTGGGGAATGCACCGAATCCTGAGATCGCAACAGATTTCCGGGAAATGTGGCTGCGAACACAGGATTCGAATCAGTTTGGTGGGTCAGAACGCCGTGTGGGCCTTGTTCGAGCCTTGGTGGGCCAGCTTGGGGCCCTCTCGAGCCGTCCTGGGGTCATCTTGGGCCATGTTGGGGCCTTGGACCATCTAGGGACCTTACGGGGGCTACGTAGGCCCTCCTGATGGCCTCCCATGGCAGTTTTGGGGGCCTCCATGGCCTTCTTGGGTTTCTATTGGGGGTCTTGTGAGGGCCTGTTGGGCTTCTTTTTGGACATGTGGGGATTCCTTGGGCAGTCTTGGGGCCATCCAGACCGTCTAGAGGCTCTCTTGGGGGTCTCTTGGGCCGTCTGGGGCCGATACCGGAGGCCTGTTTGGCTGTTGTGGACGCTCAAAGACCCGAACAGCGAATATGCTGAAAATGCACGTTTCCCAAAGGGAATCCTGTTCAGAGCCTCCTGGGCCGTCTTGGGGGCCTCTGGAGGCCATTTGGGTCCTTCTTGAAGCGCTCGTGTGCTGTCTTGGGTCTCTCTTCGGCCTCTCTGATCACCGCTCTAATCGCTTGGGGTCTGCTGGCAAGACCCGGCTCAGCGCCCTGGGAGGTCCAGAACGAGCCGGAGGACCTTTTGGCAAGGTCGTCCAAAGGGCAGAAACCCTGGATTTTGGGGGTATGTGTTTTGGGGGGGTGAAAGGGTTTCCCCACCCCCCGGATTGCAAACATATGGGAAGAAGAATAAACATGCATGCGTTCCCCAATCAGTGCTTGCACTGAAGGGTTCCTCGCGGAAGTTGAAAAATTTGGCGAAAAAGTCCCGCCGGTTTTGGTCGCACGCTGGGTTCCCAGGTTGCCGGTTCTGGGTTCCCGGCTTCCCGGTTCCGGGTGCCAGGCCGATTCCGGACGGCTGCGAGGTTCCCAGGTTCCCGGGTTCCTGGTCGATTTTCTCATCGATCGGTCTCACCATCGATATTATTACCCATTTTTCTCTCGATCGCACCATCGATCTCACAATCGATCTCACCGTCAATCGCACAAGCGATATCAGTGGAGATCGCATGAGCGACCTCGCGATCGATGTCACGATCGATCTCATTGAATCGATGTCATTCTCGGTTTCACGATCGACCTTACAATCGTCCTCGCTATCAAGTCCAATATAGATCCCATTAGCGATGTCACAATCGATTTCAATATCCATTGCATTCATGGTCAAATCATCCACTGATTGGGAGCTTTCTCAGGTGTGATATATACATAATATATATATATATACAACATATATACATACAAACATACATACATACATACATACATACATACATACATACATACATATATACATACATACATACAAATATACATACAAACATACATACATACATACATACATACATACATACATACATACATATAAACCCCAAAATAGCATGGCGAAGGACCCAACCATGTGCAGTTGTGAACACCGCACTTGTGAATATCATACTCGCCCGCGCTCCCTACGGGGCCACGAACCGTGCGGGGGGGGTGCCGAAATGCGTGGCGGGGGCACACAACGCGCACAAGTGTGCGCGCGAGAGACTGAGAGCGAGTGAATGTGGGCACGAATTCGCCTGACTGTGGATGAGCCTGCGCGAGCGTGAGTCTGCGTACACAAATGTCGACGCCCATGTCGGCACGCCCCTTCACGAAGATCGCGCCCGTTCTTTCCCGTTTTTGTCACCCCCCTTGTCCGTGCACGCCCATGTCCACGGTTGCGGGCGCGGCGCCCCACGGAGTTCCCGCGATGCGCGCTGGTCGCCCCGAAGGGGTCCAAGCGACGAGCGCGGGTCGTCCGTTGCGCGGAGCAGAGTGCCAGCAGACTGGCCGATAGCGGGCAAGGCTGTGGCCGCTGGGCAGAGCGACGACAGGGGCGAGCGACGCGCTGGGCAGAGCGGTGGTGCCGTGCGGACCCTCCCGCTGGGGCTTTCGGTGGGGCTACTTGTGGGGCCACAAACCGTGCGAGGGGCGTGCCGAAATGGGGCGGCGGTGCCATGCGGACCCTCCCGGCGGCGCCATGCGGACCCTCCCATTGGGGCTTTCGGTGGAGCTCCCTATGGGGCCGCGAACCGTGTGAGGGGTGCGTCGACATTGGTGGCGCGGACGCGGAGAGGCTCGCTCGCTCTCACCCATTCCGTTCCATGTCTTATCAAGCCTCATACTCACAGAATCTGGGGGGGTACACCTTATCTGTGTCCCCTGTCATCTTGCCAGCTCGTAGAGCCACGCGCGCTGGCAGATGCAACGCTTCGTTGCCTGCGCGGGGGCCTGGCTGTTGAACTCAACGGGCAAGGCACAAACTCGGGGGAGGGATAAAGCCTGTCGCTTATCTCATACCGCTCAACATCAACCGACAACTGACGAAGCTCGGTCGGGAGAGGAGGAGGGGGCGGGGCCTAGAGGTTGTCGTAGGCGAGGGGGATGTCGCAGCACGCGCCGCCGTACTGAGACGAGCCCGATCCCGCAGGGACAAAGCTCCCAAATACACGCGGCCAGGGAGGGGGCAACGGGACTCTGGTGCCGGAAAAAATCAGAGCGGGATTCAAGACACTCTCGAGGGCAGCTCAGCTGTCGCGCCTGGGAGCCCAAGAAACCAACAGCACATCAAATGCCCCGTGGTGCCC